TTGGGTCAGTTTGTAAAGTAAATATTTTTTCTGTAGATTTAGTGTTCAAGGTATTTGTTTTAGAAATATTTGTTTTGTTAATATTAATGGAAGTAGAAGGTTGAGTTGTAGTAGAGGTGTTAGATTTAGATGATAGTGTAGCTTGAAAGATTGGAGTTAGGTCTTTTCTGGCCTGCTTGAGGGATAAGGAAGTTGAAATTGAGGATGTGTTAGAAGTAGAAGATGAGGATTTAGCTATGCAACTAGAGTGGTATACTTTTTTATTGACAAAAGTATAGATTGTATTAGGATAGTGTATGCTGTTGATAATCTTGCAAGTAATAACTTGAGTACACTTGGGGCAAGTATGTTGGCATGCTTTGGGTGTAGGAGATAGTGGGATGTTGTTAGTAGATTCAGAAATAGTATTGATAAGTTCAATTGATTTTTAGTTTTGTTTTTTCCCTATAGTGATTGCAGTAAAATCGGTAGCATGTTGATAGATAGTTTTAGTTTGTAATATAAATTGTGTATAGTATTTACCATATAAGCAAATAGCTAGGGCAGTGGAGGATAGAGCAGGGAAGAAGTATATTGCTTTGTTAGATCTAGTGGATTTAATAAAGCAAGTAGTAGGAGACTGCTTGTGTGAGATTGATATTGTTGTCTGTTTCATTCTCAGAGAATGCAAGACCAAAGCTGTCTTTGAAGTGAGTGTAGAAGTAGTCAAGATCTGCAGTATCAGGGTTTTTACTGACTAATGTAGGCATGATAAAGTTAGAAGAGTATTAAGTTTTGCTTAAGGTATAGTAAAATTGATTTTTGTAAAATTATTTTAAGTTAAAAATAGGATATTTAACTTAGAATGTATTGTAAAAATTAGTTTTTTGTAAAATTTTTCTAAGTTGAAAATAGGGTATAAAAATAGAACAGGGGTTGTAATAAGATAGACTATTCAGGAGTAGTTAAAAATAGGGTCTTGAATTTGAGTTACACAAGGTTACATGACATACAAGTTGGAATTTGGAGCTCTATATTACACAAATTCACGTGATAATCATGTGTTACACAAAACCAAAAGTGAAGTCTTATTGTATAAATAGAAGTTACAAAAAAGGCAATTATTAAAATTGTGCGATATTAGTTAAAATAAGGCAATTTTAGTGTAATTTAAAAGTACCACTAGTTTTTAAATATTGTAGAATGTGGGTGGCATGGCTGGAGTGGCCTTAGTTACATGAAAAACGTCTCTAGTTATTAGGAAAGAGAAAAATTTCCAAAGTAAAAGAGAGGGGGAAAAGTAAACAGAGTTGAAAATTGTTTTGCTTGTACCTCAGTCAGTTTTAAGGCTACAGAAGTCTATTATAGCTTTTTTGAAGAGGGAAATGTGTAGAGTAACTTGTAATATGCTTTGTAATGAAGTTAAGAATCTAGATTTTGCATAAACAGCAAAAGAGACTTATTTGGCCTGGAAGGCCGTTGTTTAAAGAGTTTAAGAGCTATCTCTTTAAAATTTAAGTATTATATGTAATTTTCTATATAGAAAAGGTTTTATTAGGCAAGAGATAATGCTATCTTAGTAAATTATTGCAAAAATAGAATATTTGTTGAGTTGTTTTTTAGAAAAACTTTTGTACGAGTGATTGATGCAGAGAGTTTTTACCACACCCTTAATTAAATAGTTTATATAAAAGTATTGCTTGATTATTTTTAATAAAATATAGGTGCATAAATATTAAGTTTGTTTTTATTTAAAGAAAATACAAAAGGTCTGATTTTGTAGAATTAATTTCAATATTGTTAAGTTTGTAAAGTTGTTAAGAATTATTTAGAATTTATTGAAGAGATTTTGGGCTTTTATTATGCTAAAAAATATTATCTATAAAAGCTATAGAGGTTATAGTTATTAAAAAAGATAGTATATTTAAAATAATTTTAAACGATAAAGAAGAGTTAATTTTAAAAAAATGTTTATTATATTTATTATGTATATAGATAAAAATAGGATTATAATAAATTTAAATTATTTTAATATAGAACTCTTCCCATAGATCACTTAACCAAATTAGGAACAAGAAGAAAAAACTTTCCCATGACAATATCTCAAGATTTTAATAAGTAAACTGATACTCAGCTCCTAATTAAAGTTATCCAGCACCTCTACGTCTACTTAAAAGAGGTTTTCTTTTTAAAAACGAATGATACTCCAAAAAGATACAAGCAATAAACTCCAAAAAGGACCAAAAAGCCTTCTTTTCATCACTCCGCAAAAGTAGTCTTCAGGACCACCCAAACTCGAATAATACAAAACAAACGAACAGCTATACTCTAAACAAAAATTTAGTCAAACAAGGTTTACTAGCATCACCTGAACCCCAAGCTCACTCCAAAGATATAGCCTCTAATAGCCCTTCTTCCTACTTTAAAATTTTTTTTCTCTCGCGCAAACAAGCAGAAGCAAAAAATACTCCTACTAGCGACAAGCTCACAAACCCAGAATCCAAGCACACTAAAAAGTTTATCAACATTACTATCAAAGACTGGTCAAGATTAGCCTTTACTGTCAGCTTCTCTATTCCAAAGCAGTTTAACGACTTCTTTTCTATATCGATATTACCAAATCCAGCAAGATCTCCAACTTGGTAGATTACTCTCCACAATAGATATGCAAACATGATGACCCTAACCAATCAGTCCTCTTTGACCTTACCTCGCACAAAAACAATATCATAAATATTAGTGCCAAACAACCTAGAAATACCCGTAGCTGTGACCTGGCCACTATTACAAAAGCCTACGAAAGTAGTATGAAACCTTATACTAAAGCTAAAAGTCTTTCAGATCTTATACTTATCCTGTACAACTCTATTGCAGAACTCGAATCTGATAATGAATCAAATAAAAGCACCAACAAAACAGTCCTACCTTACACTACCTCTAATATAAAACCAACCTCTACAGATACCAGTAATACAAGCGTGGACACAACACCTCAAGTTATCACACCAAATATGCAAATTACTATACCTGCACAGACTATACCCCCTCCAGGCCCCAGTACTATACTAACAACAACCGTAAAAATAATGGATACAGATACAACCCCCTATACAACAGAAACTATATAGCTATGGGTACACAATCTCACTCGTCAACCTCTGTACTCTGACCATCTACACCCCTAGTCAAATCATACCAAACCCTCTATCTACTACCAACGAAACCCACCACTCCTGCCTGAAGCCATCACTAACAGAAAGCATGGCAGAAATATCTCCCCTCTTATTACTATTCCTAATAAAGCTAATAAGACCTCTATGAGTAGTATTTCCACCTCAGCTAGACTACAAACCAATAATGCTACACTAAGTAACAAGCCCACATATAGCCAAATAGCAAAAACTAATTTTAGCCTCCTATTAATAGAAACACCAGACGATATGGAATGGGCAGCAATAGTCTACCAAAGAGCTACCCTTTGACTCAGAAACGTGGTCATATGACTTCATTGCAGAGGCACTTAAAACACCAGAGGGAATTTACAAATTCATTAGCTACAAGCTTTTAGCAACTCATACCCAACATAAAATACCAGAGGCAATCTTACTCAAATTTCTCCACAATGATACCAGATTTTTTACTACATTTACACACAATTCCAAGACTACACCTGCACACTAGAAGGAATATACAAACCTCTTTAATAAAGCCCTCTCAGCATATAAAGAAGAACATGAGATTACATTCATGAACCTTGATACTCGCAATACTATTACTACCATGTTAAGGAAAATGCTGATCTCACAGTACCTTATCAATATTGACTTTACTTGCATTCCACATAGAAGAATCCACAAAATTATTCACTATACTAGGGGTTTTTGACAAATCAAGAATACAGATGAGAACACATACAAAGAAATTACAGGACACATCAACAAAGCATTCGAAGATAAACTTATTCCACTTCCAAATTCTCCAGAGCAAATACCACCTGAGATTTATAACATGCTTCCTTTCCGTCTCCCAATTACACAACACTCACACACCAGAGCAATTGTCAATACTCTAAGAAGAATATTCAAATTTTCAGAACTCCCACCTTCATACTTTGCTAAGCTCCCTACACTTCCTAACCACTATAGAGAACTCCCACCAAGCCTACGTCAACTCTTTTATATTTCCAACAGATCTGCACTCCAACACCTGGCTGCCTACAAAAGAAAACTCGCAGACTTCTATACAGTAACCCAAATTCCAGATGCATACTTCAACCTACCACCTCCTAAAAAGCTTTTGCCAACCACCTATCAAGAACTTAACCCCAGAGTCCACAAGCTATTCCCATTCAACTAGGCAACATCATCAATCCCACTCACAGAGGTGGTAGCTCTACTCAGAGAGTACTATACATTTAAATTGCTACCTAATGACTACTTCGTATCCAAGCCTTCCCTGCTTATAGATCCCAAAAATATTAAAACCAACACAGAATTCATCTACCAAATTACAGATGATTCAACTGCAAAAGAGTTCATTAAGCAAGTCTCTGCAAAATACAGAATTAGGTTTCCTATTCCACCTAAAATTATGCAAGCAAATCCCACTGACAAACCTAATCTCCCACCTGCTGCACAAATTACAAAGGATTTTAATATTGATTTTCCAATTACAACACCCCAACAACTCACAGAGACAGCTAGACTTCTATGCAAATACTACTATTTCTTGCAACTCCCCACAGACTGGATTCAGCTAAACAATGACAACATCCCAAATACAGAAAATACAGACACTAATGTGAACACAAAGGCCCTACCTATTATTCCCAAAGATATAGAAGAGATCATTGAAACACTATCTAAGCAAGAGGTTATAGTCTCACTTCCAATCCAGAAACAGCAAGACATAGCCCCAACTATGAAAACTCTCAGACAATTCTACAAGATTCCAACTATTCCAGAAACCCTACTACAACTCCCACCCCTTCCTATACCAAAATGGAACATTTTTAATAACATCTATATGCAAGATCTACCACCAACTCCTAGTATAGCCCAAAGCTTTGCATTGGCCCCAGAGACAGAAACTACAGAGCTAGTCTCTTCTACAAACACCCCAACTCTCTCTTCAGCCGAAACCACTAAATCTACCTTTACAGAAACAAATAACATACACCTATCTCATAGCGATATTACCCTTTTACTGGATAACCCAACACCAATGGACACAAACGAGCACTCTCATGAGTAGACCAAATGACTCACGAAACTCAAACACTCTTCATCCCAATATTGCTCAAAACACACCACTTCACCCACTAATACTCTTTATTTGCATACACAATGTACAAGGCTTTAACACAAGTACAAAGAAAGAAGCTTGGAAACACTACTGTCTACAAGAAAATTTAAACATTGTTAGTATAACTAAAACTAAACTCTCTAGCAAATCTACCCCATGCAAACAACACAAAACCAAACACTTCACCTACCTTTAGTCATGTACAGACAGTTCCAAAGCTGAAACAGCTATTATGATCTGCAACACTCTTACTCCACATATCCATAATATCACTACAGTACCAGGATATGCAATAGCAATCGACCTGTTCTTTAAACATGACTTTAAATTTTGTATTATTTCCCTTTACCTCCCTAGCAATGATGCACAACTCTGTTTACAAACCCAAAACACTATAATCTAGTGGTTGCAGCAAGCCAAAGCCCAAAACATTTTACCAATAGCTCTAGAAGACTTTAATGCCTCCACAGAAAATATCTACTCCCAATCAATTAAATACAAGCTTCTTTAATATTTGGCTTACAATAACATATGGGCCTTTGCAATAGAAAGGGCCCAAACTCCCCAAAAATTAAAAATGAGTTTTTTCAAGATTCAAATAAATTTCGAA